ATAATTATATTTTCCAAATAATTCTTCAAAATCAAGAAAGGGTACTAGTATAATTTATATATTCCAAACAATTCTTTTCAAAACTGTTTATTTCAGCTAGGATAGCAGGTCCTTTTATACATTTTTCATAAACAAAAATTATTATAGTATTACTAACTAATACTATATATAAGATATAATTAAAATACTATAATATAAATAATTATAAGTGGATTATATCAAAGTATGTTAAAAGATATCAAAGAATGTTAAAAAATATCAGAGTACATAAAAGAATATTAAAAGATGTGAAAAGATATGAGAAGACGTTGAAAGATATGAAAAAACGTGAAAGGATATGAGAGAACATCAAAGAATATTAAAAGATGTGGAAAGATATTTGAGATCATCATTTAAATGTAACTGTTTCACCAAAATTAAAAATAATCTTCCACTATACTATTCTACTATGTACATGAATATTATAATACAAAATAATAAAAATATAGATCCCGAATATTAAATAAAATATAGTATCAAAAATAGAAACGTGATAATAAATATAGTAATAAATAATATAAAAAATAAGGATAATTAATAAATAAAATTATAATAAAATGTAATATTTCATAACTAGGGAAAAATTAAGGAATTAAGTAATTTTATGTCACTATGGTAATAATATCAATAATTTTTTATTTATAATCAGATAATTAAACAGAAAGACTTAACAGAATATTAGAAGAGATACTTAGAATTTATATAATATATAAATAAGATTAATAAGATAAAATTCTAGTAATAATTAAATTTATTTATAATAATAACAAAAATATTTCTATTAGATATATATTATTTGAATTAAATTATAAATAGTTATTTTATACTTCAGCTATTATTCTTTTATTTTAAAATAATATTATAAATTACAAGAATTTATAAAATATTAGAATATTATGATAAAGTTTATTAAAAATTTATTATTTAAAGTATAAAATAGGTAAAGTAAATATATAAATTAATATAAAAGATATAAAAAATTTAATATTAAAGATCAAGTTTTTTTTTACTTATAGTATAGATAATTCTATTGATAAATAAAAAATAATTAAGAAATATACATTAAAATTTATTAAATTCTTTAAAATTATTAGTAAAATATTTTTTATTACTTATAAACTATAACTATTAGTTAATATAAAATTATATTTAATATTTTATATTTTATTTTTAAAGAAATATAATCCAGATAATAAATTTAATAAACAAACATTACTATTAATTATCATTATTTTAAATAATAAAAAAAATATAAAGTTAAAAATATTCTTAATAAAAGAGTTTATTATCCAAATTTTAATATCTTGTTAAATAACTTATATATTCTCTCTATAATATTATCTAAAAATCTCTTGAAAACTTGAAAAATATTATAAATAGAACAAAAATTTTTGAAAATTCATATATTAAATATAATAAAAATATTATACTTTAAGTAGAGAGATATATAATAATTTGATTAAATTATATTTTTTTTAGATTAAATCTTTATTTTGCAATATTTATATTATAATTTATCTTTTATATTATATTTTTTAAAGATTAATTTTATTTTGAATATTAGATAGTTATTATATATCAAATTAATTAGATTTATATATATTATTATACAAATAATTATTATATATTTCATAATTTCAAATTTAAATTATTAATATTTTTCATTAGATTATTAATATTTTTTTATATTTTTATTTATTCTTTTTATTATTTATATTATTATTTATTATATTTATAATTATTATTAGTTATTAAATTATAATTAGTTATTAAATTATAATTAGTTATTCTCTAAAGATACAAATTAAGTTAATTAATTATATTTAATATATATATATATATATTATATTATTAATTATTATTAATTTATTTATATTTTATATTTATTTCTTTTTTTTATAAATATAATCTTTTTATTCTGTATTTTTATCTTAGATCTAAATACTATTTAAATAATAAAAAATCATAAGTTTTTATAAATTAAAACTATTTATTTTGTATTTTATTTTATTTATAATAATTAATAAATAATCTTATAAAATTTATTAATAATTTTTTTCTTAAATTTATATTATAATTCTAAAATTTATTTTTAAACTTATATAAAATAATTTTTTATTTAATTAAAATAAATTAAATTATTTAATTTTTTTAAATTAAAATATTTAGTTTATTATATTTTTATAAATAATTTTATTATAAATTTATAAAATAAAAAATAATTAAATTATTTTAATAATTTAATCTAATTAAATTTAATCTGATTTTTATTAAATATAAATTATAATTAATTAAAAGTTAATCATATAAATTATTATATAAATTAAAATTTATATTATAATAATTTAATATAATTACTAATAAAATATAAATTTATATAAATAACAAATAATTTTAATAATTATTTTTTATTAAAATATAATATATAATATTTAATAAGTAAATTTAAATAATATAAAATTATTTAATTTATTTAGATTAAATAAATAAAGAAGTCTTATTTTTATTTAAATTAATCTATTAAATATTAATATATTGTATTTAAAATTATTAAATTTTTAATTTTTTAGAGATTAATTAGTTTATTATTTAAAATTAAAAATTATTTTATAAAATACTTGATTAATTAAAACTAGTAATTATTAACTAGTAATTATTATTTAGAAGAATAAAAATATAATATATATGATAAAAAAAGTTCTAGAATATATTATTTAAATATTAAAAAAAATTTGAAATTTGAAAATAAATAATAAGAAATTAAAATTACAATATAAATCTGTTTTTCTATCAAAAAAATTTATTAAAGATCAAGTAAATTAATTAAAATTTTTGAATATTATGAGTTTAATTAGTTATTAATATAAAAGATTTAAGATAACAAAAGTTATTATATAGTTTTTTATATAAATTACTTTATTTAAATTAAATTTTATAATTTGTATAAAAGAATAAATTATTAATTATAATATATTTTCTTTATAATTCTAATTAAATTTTATAATTTGTATATAAGAACAAATTATTACTTGTAATATATTTTCTTTATAATTCTAATTAAATTATAATTTTTCACTATTTAATATTTATTTATATAGAAAGTAATAACAGAAAGATTTTTTTAATTATATAAATTTGATGAGATATATACAAGATATTATAAATTATCTGTTAATTTATACTAATATATATTATATTATTTTTCTGTTTGTTTATTGCTAGTATGCAATAATCATGCTTCTTTATTATATAAAAAATTTGATTCTGGAATCTAAAAGAACTTTTGGTTAAATCTTTTACAATTCTGTAAAATTTCTTAACTAAATTATATTAATATTTATTCTTGTAAAAGATATAATATTTATCTTTACAAAAATACTTTAAATTTACAAGATTTAGTAACTCTTCAAAGTTATCATTAGTCATTCTTCCTAATTTAGTTGATGATAACTTTCTTAATTTACTTTTAATTATTTATATAAAATCTCTTTCAAAAAATTTCATGAAATTTTTGTGATGCAGCAATATATGATTTTAATAAAGTTTAGATTTCAATTTTATATAATATATAATTATTTTTCAATTGGAAAAATGAAAAGGTAATGATATAACAAAGCTGAACATGTTGCAAAAGATTTTTAATTGTACTAGTAAAAGAGAAGAAAGGTACTTTTTGATAAGGTAGTTCTTAAAAATATTATCTTATGCCAAATTGCATTCAAATTAAAATTGATACAGGAAGAAGGCATGTCAAATGTAAATATTTTAAGATTATAAAATCCTGTTATAAGCATCTTAAAAATAAACTTTTATCTATTATTATTATTCTAGATTTTATTTATTTCTAAAAAACCTGGCCGCCATTACATTCCATGCGGATTGTACACTTTCCATGCAAAAGATCGAGGGTCAGAATCAATTTCCAAGCAGATTTAAAGAGATCTCGGATGATTATATGATGATTTATGCGATATTTTATCGCAAGCCATTCTTTGGGTTGATTTTCTATTCGTATAACCATAAAAACTTTTGAAGGGCATGTTGTCACGTACACGTATCATAACGTACATTTATTGTATGAAAAATTTAGATTGAATATTTCCGATTATATTCTAAATGGCAAGCTTTAGTAAAGTGTGCTTGCAGGAAAATTTTCTATTTTAGTCTAAAGATATTCTATCTTTTGAGAAACAAGTAATAATATAAAACAATAACAAAATTCCTAAGAAAATTTACTTCTCATAAAAACTAAGCAATTCTTAAAATACTAAGTTTTTTATATTTAACTAGGCAAAAGAAAATAATAATAGTTAAAATAATACCACCAATAGAAGCACCAACACCTATGCCAACCATAAGAGCAGTATCATTTTTAGTGCATGTAATATTTCCATTTGATGGTATGTATGTAATTGTTGTAGATGGATTAAAAGATGTAGGTGTTGTTGAATTGGAAGTAGAATTTGTTGAAGTTTGTATGAATGGCGAGTTCTAAAGAAATAAAGAGGTTAATTATTAGTGACCAAACAAGAAAAAAACCCATATATGTGAAACTCTGAAAGAACTTACTGTATATACACTTGTTACCTCATCAGCAGATAAACACCAGTTGTAATAGCGAAAATTACTATTAATAAAAATGATCATTTTAATATTGATGTGTTTCTAATTTTTGTTCACGTATCATACCTAATTTGACCAACGATTCCATCCCAGAAAGTATCGGTTCCGATGCGCAGCGGTCCATTATTGAATAAAAGTTGTTCCGTCTGGACTTGCTGGAAGCTTTGGAATCCGGCCCATTTCCCGTCTATGTAGAAATCTAACCGTTTTTGTGGTTCAGAAAGTGTATAAGCTAGATGGTACCATTGGTTCAGAGAAAGTCCGCCGTCAAGCGAATCGATTCCTGCATTCCAGTTATCGTTTAGCGAGAAGCGGACATGTGGTGCTGAATTGTTTGGTGTCATCCAGAGTGAGGGCGTACGTTCTATGTCTGTGACGCCTAAATATATATATATATAAAACATTAGTTTTTAGAAATATTCTAAATACAGCAATTTCATTTCACACATAACTATTATACCTTTATGAAAAACAGATGACCAATTAGAATTTTTACTGAGGAGATTCAGTCGTAACGTCACTGATAGCTCGTCTGTCACCACTGGCAATTCAGCGTGTTGTATTACTTTACTATCCTTAGCAGAGAAATTAATGGGATCTGAAATGAACTCATAAAATGTCTTTGAGATTCCAACGATTTGATGTGCTTGCACAAGCAGTAAAAAAATACACAAGATCTTTCGTTCCATATTAGAATCCTTATTAATAAAGTTTTTATAATGCCTTGTATTTACCACAAAAAATTGCTCAGGAAGAAAGCAAAATCAAACGATTAGTTTAAATTAATTATGATGCAAAATGAATTAGAGAGTTCATATACAGTATGTAAATGTGCTGTATAATCATGATTTTATTCACTTATATACTGATACGCTATTGAAAAATTATTCATACATGTACATGCATTTGAAACTTCGTTATTGTCAAATTTGGGATGATAATAAGTATGAACATTTATACCTAAATATTGTTCCTATATGTACAGTCACCACAAAGTAATGTCCGATTTGCATGTGTAACAACATGGGGAAAGTATATGCGTTGCGCGTTTTCCCCATCTTTCACTAGGATAAAAATAGTAATTTTTATTGAGGTTATGAGTGTCAAGCAAGTTGCAAGAAAAATGTGACGTAACCTGGTAAGAGTATAATGGTCTCTTGCAAAGTACAAAAGAACAGGAAAAACAAAAATTTACCACTGTCTGAGAGACCATAAGCTCATAACCATTAAGAAAAAATGCATGTATGCAAGAAAACTAAAAAAGACATCCTGAGCCATTTCACAACTTTGGTAATAAAAAATGCGCGCAAAGCTTATCTAGGATTCTCTACATTAGGAAAAAAAGAATCAAATAGAGAAATCAATGAATATTGTGTTCTCACGACCCAAACTTCATATACTCTAAAGCGTAAAAGATTCCCAAGGATTGTAAAAAAGCTCAAAGACTACTCTGAAGAAAGTTCATTGTGTTTGCTTTGAGGAGGTTGTAGGCTCAATGCCTTGAGAAGTCAAAGCGATATTAGAGCCATATGAAGAGCTAATAATATACATCTAAAGTATGTACATGTATAACATTGTACGATTTATACAACGTAAAGGTTACATGTAGTAGTAATAGTAATTGTTCTTTATTTCTTTATCTATTTTATTTATCTTGTTTCTCTATTATTTATTTGGCTGCGTGGAGAAAAGACGCTCATTGGGTACAGATGAGGAAGGGTGCCGGTAAAGTACTTTCTGACTCGTTTTGCCAATATAGGGAATCTCAGATTATTCCTTGTTGTGATAATTCAATGTAATAATCAGTTGATGTAAAATTGTTTTTTGTAATTATACTATTAAGACACTATTCTTTATTTGTTAGTATTAATATAACCGCAGAAAAATAGACTGTTGATACGTAGAACATCAAAAAGAAAATTAAAGAGATTCTTAATATTAGCAAAATAGAGACTAGCTAAAATTGATGTGAAGATTAGAATAAAAACATGAAGTCCACACAAATACAGTGAATTTTTACTACAAAATTAATTCAATTCCAATTGATATAGTTACTTTTGGTTTTGTATAAATTATACTGACATTCTTTTTTTAATTCATTAATATTTAATTCAATATTATTTTTTTGTTGTTGAAAAACAGATTCCGATATTGATACCATATAAGATCAAAGAGAATAAGCTGGAAATTTATGATGAAACTCTTACAGCGAAATAAAACAATGTCAAGTGTTTATTATGTTTGTTTGCAAATTGTCTTTGTTTACTACTTAAGCACAATATATTTCAGTTATCGGATTATTCACTTATTCAAATTGTTCACTGATGAATACTCAAAAATAAAAACATTCATCTAACTGAAAAGTTCAGTTGTTCAAAAATTTCCTTTGGGATCAGGAACTTTACTGTTTTGTGTAAGCAATAATACAGTACATGTATATTATAATTAAATAAGATTTACTGGTTAAGATTATTGATTTGGTTTTTTATAACGTAGAAAAATTAAACACAAGTTAAATGCATAGGAAAAATTTATTTAGCCGCTGAGTTTTCAGCATCATCAAATTTGAGGTAGCAGATGCAGTACGATAAGATGAGGACGCTGGAAAGTAGTAAAAAACACAAAACGATTTTAAAATGTCAAAATATATTTGGCATAAATCTTTCGGCAATAATTCGATGTCTCTGTTATTTAAAGATTTAAATAACTGCGAGCACATAGTTATCTTAGAAGCTTACACATATGAGTTCATGAATAAATTTCTTAATAGCAATAATAATAATAATAAACTGGCCAACAGTTTTTTGATATTCAGAAGTTGTTTTTCAAACGCAGGGTTAAAATATTGCATTGCACCGAGTATTCATGCCCTCTGTTTGATTTTTGTAAGAAGGATAGGCAAAGTTTTATATCACAACTATGTTCATATACATGTATATGAACATAAAATCAATCGTGTTTTTTCTCCCAATATACTGTATGAAAGATTAAAAATCAAATGTCATCTGACGTGTGAGTATTTGCTTTGTGTTAAATAATAATAAATTATTTTCTGTAAACAAAAACTCACGTCATTCTAGAAATATGCCATATACGAAACAACGATGTTCGGCGATCTCAACATCGGTTTCTCATCTCCATTTCTAGCAGGATAGATAGACTATTACAATCCTTTAACAACCTTCAGCGGATGGTTCATCAGAAGCATCACCATATTTTAGTTCGGTATATATGTTATGGAGCCAAGCCCAATTCAGTCATCTGAAATACAGTGACTCACATAAGAAACGTAACACGGAAAAAAAACGGCGAGATACGTTTTTTACGGAGCATGCATCGTATGCTTTCCATCGAAAGGACAACGTCCAACTCATTTTTAAGCTCTCGTTGGACCTCGACAGCGGTGGAACATTTTCTGGAGTGGATTAATCGGCACGAGTTTCTTTGGCAGCGTGTCGAGAGGATTGGTGAACGACCGGTTTTAGGTTTGTCGTCGAAGCTCCCAGTCTCTTCCTTCTTTTTGCATATCCGGTAGACGGCGGCCGGGTCTACTTGTTCCGATGCTGCGATTTCCCGCATCGAATATCCTTTCCGGAGCGTGTATATACGGGCGCGTTTCTCTATAAGGATAATTATGAAAATGGATCAGTTAGTTTGTTAGAATGTGAAGATTTATTTTTTTAATTTACAAACAATCAAAAGCGTTTGTACTTATCTTTACATAGCCCTTCCGTCCACCTTCCCGTTCGGTCGTAATAAGTGCAACGCTAAAAAAGTTAATGCATCTTTAATTAAAAGATAGAAGCGAATAAATTTTGATATCATCAATACTGTAGATATTGATGAACCAATACATTCACCTTTTAGTTGCTCAGGTTCTCCTTACGGCGAGGTATTCGTATCTCGCCGTTTTTTTCCGTGTTGCGTTTCTTTTATGAGCTACTGTAACATGAATCTCGGAACCAAACCCGATTATTCAACCATCAGCGACACAAATGTGTGCATAATGAATCCAACCTTAAATTTTAACTTAGAATGAACGGAAACTTATAATTTGAATCAGTATTTCTACAGCATTAGATTAGTTCTTCAGCCGCCGCAACAAAGTTCGGGCCTATGCGTGTATTCTAATTCAGTGAATTCTCCAAATTTGTGGTAAACTGTTCCTTACTGATCAAAAAGCTCTTAAGATACGGTGAATTTTGAAGTGTAAATTTCTTAATTATCTTAATTATTATTAGCGAGTAGTTCCATATAAAATTAAATTCGCATTTTTGGTTCATTTTTACTTTACATTTATTAAAAAATTATATGCGTTGGGATGCAGTTCAAATATCCAAGAATTTTTTTGTATACTTGGTTTTAATACTTGTATCCCATTTATCTTGGATTTTTTTTTACCCTGCGCCGAGCAACAACGCATTACATGTATTACTTGTTGTATGCGTATTTTATTAACTTTGAAAATAATAAAATCTCTAATACGGACAAAAAGTTCACCATGTTATTTTCCTTGTAATGAAGACTAAATAATCGTATATATTTACTGCAAATAATTCGCTTTTCTCTTTATTTTTTGTGAAAATAAGTTGATTCAGTGTTGATTTTATGTGTGGTCATTGTTGTATGACGATAACTTTCAAGAATTTTTTGTCGAATGAATGAAACTTATGCTACGATAACGTGGTCGGATTCTTTTGATAGATACATGTACGCCGAGTTTACTTCAAAATGTCAATACAAGAATTGTTACATGTATAATTAGTTCTTATTTAGAAAAGATGTAATGTAGACGAGCACGTCAGCTGTTTCCTTTTTTTTATTTTATCGTGGTTTTTCGTTTTATTATATTTCCTCTTTGTTTATTTATTCACAAAATCAGCGAGTGCATCAACAGATTGTTGCCGTTTCAATTCTTGTAATGCGTTACGAAAAACATTAAAAATAACTATATATGCATGGAATAATTCTTTTACATCACATATTAGAAAAATTATGATGATATTTTAGTATTTTCACGTGCAACTCAGAAGTTAGTTGAATTAAAGAATTGCAGACGCAACACGAAGCGAGAGCTAGACTGAATGATTTACACAGAGTGGGGTATCACTAAGGTTCTAAAGGTTTCCTGCATCAATCTGCACGGAGATTGTGCAATCGAAGGGGCATTCGGGATAAACTAAAAAGAAAGTTAACGGATTCCAAAGGAATACGGGTAGTTTCTGCTCACTACCAACGCAAAACACAGTTGGACTTATTGACGTGACCAACAACATAAAACACACAATCTTTTTAAGGCAAAAGAAGTAAAGCCATCAATTTCATTAAGCACAAAAGAAATAAAAGCTTTCAATTTCGTTATGGCACGAAAGAAATAAGAGCTGAAGCGCAATTCAAAGTAAATTTAATATTTGTTTGTATTCAACCTTCGGACAATTATTCTTTAAATACAATTTTTTTAGAGTCACATCAAGCTTGATGCGCAATTTCATGTGATCCAAAGTACAGAATAGGAATTAATTAAGAATTCTCACAGAAAGGAGCCTGGCTATGCTTTGATACAAGAACAAATGTACTGTAATAATAAAGTAGGGCGAAGTCAACTATAATGTGTGAATTTTATGATGAATGTTTCTATTGATCAAAGAAATAACGTTAATCATCATATTCTTTAAGGCGTGAAATAATA